GTTTCCTACATCGTCTACTCCACTCTGACAACTCCTTCGATGATTAATGTGGATACCGCCTCTGGCATTTGCGCTTACGACCCCCCCCCCCTTACTCTGCCAAGAACCCCTTGTTTGAATGAACTTGTACGAATGGACATTCGACCCTCTTGCTACTCCCTCCAGACATTCTAGAGTGTTCCCAAAAATGCTGACTCAGACTAGCAACAAACGTGCTGCTATGATGCTTGTGTGTGGAGAGGCCTTGGTTACCACTGAACGTCCAACGTATGGCCGTTTTCACCTCTATGACTTATTCATGAACCACCTTCACCTTTTTGACTTTCATTTCGTACTAACCGACTTTTGACCACAGTCCAGTATTTTCTATCAGTGTCACCCGTGACTGAGTGATCAAAATTCATGGTTTTGTCTAGAATAAAGAGCTCCCTCTTCCCGATTCCGTTATTATCAAAAGCTCAACCTGTAGAGAAAAAGTGACGAGAATGAGCCAACTATTGACTTGGTAGGATTACCCATGATTCCAAAGACATTATTCAGTCTTTAAATATAACTGTTCCTAAGTTTGTCTCAGATCAAGAAGTGCAAATTCTTCAGATCAGTATTATACTTCCGATTTATACGAATTGATTTGGTTTCGTCACGAATATTTATCGAGAGCCTTCTCTTGTATTTCTACGTGGAATTATTACAATACATTTTTGGCGATCAACACCAATTAATGATTAAGTCTCTCAAACTATTTATTATGAATTATTAAAGATATATTTTATAGATGATCGGGCACAGTACTATACATCGAAGAAGCGAATCGAAGTAGGAATATGGAGCAGCCAGTGGTAAGCTAACTCTGCCTCCTTGGCGCACTGAAGAGGTTCCTTTCTGATTTCCATAAATTCAGAAAGCGCTGGCGATATGTCTGTTCATTGCAAAGTCGACAGCCTGCATGTGGCCTTCATCCGATGTCCTCTTCATCATTGATGGCACTTTGAGCCTTGATCAGTTCCAGTTCCAGAAAGAGATTTCGTTCATTAGTCAGGTTCGTTGATATGTGAATTTGCTGCATGCATAGTTTTAAAGAATGAGGAATTCACGATTAGAATGAAGGTCGAAGAAAGGGAAACTGACCTAGTTGAGGGACCCACGGACCTCCTGAGGGTGCGAACTGACGCGCAATTCGCATGGAAAAATTTGACCTCGGCGACCTATCATGCCTCAAAGCTGGCGGGTCCGGCGATCTCCGCCCACCGATCATCTGATCACTCGCCGTAGTTCAATACGTGGCGAGTGATTAGATAGCTGAGAGAGCGTAGTGTTGAAGAGGGCACAGCGATGAGAGTCGCATCAATGCTCGAATCAACGGGCAAGGAAGGGGTACCATTTCTCGGGTTCTGGGCCGTTTCTCATGGTTCTTCCTTCTTTCGTGTACCACTCACCATCCCTAGGTTAATTTGAAATGGGTTGCTTTTTCATCGTGAATTCGTCCTTTAAAGATGCAACGTACTCGGTGTCCATGCTCATTCTGAAGGTGAGGCTACAGTTCACTCCATTCAAGAGAGGCATTCGACTGGTCCATCTGGAGCAAGCCATAATGACCTAGAAGTAGGGGATGGGAGGTCGGAGGGTTTTTTTCATTTTAATATAGATCTATAATAACATCTATAATATCTATAACAGAAATCGTTATTCTGGCAAACAAATATGCCACCAGGCAGTCAGTGAAATTCGGCAGTACAGCAACGGGACCTTTGGTTGGCCTGTGCGGTACTATCCAGGGAGGAGATCCATTGACCGTCCAGGTAGGCTGAGCGCCGTCTGATACTACCCATCCTACCCACACCCTCTGCGGTCGTGGGCCATGTAGCCGCTGAGCTTACGATACAAAGTTTCAGTATTTACCGTACCGATTCTCATTTGATCAAGAGAAAGATCCAGTCATGTTATCGGCTAGCGTTGTATGTATTCATGGGGACATAGACATTAGCCGTCGTCAGCCGAGGCCTATTTGATCACAGTTCCATTGCCCATATATTTCTGAATTTGCCTGGACATGCTCCGCTCCTACCTACCTTGTGAATTCATATGGCGCCTAATCCACAAGGACCAGCCAGCGCACGGCAAGCCTGGGCACGTTTCTGGGAGCCGTGTAGGGGTTTCTGCAGACACTCATCAATTCTACCCTGGCGATCCCTCCTTCACCAGCCAATGAACTACTTTCCGGTTCTTCAAAGATTAGTATGGCCAGAGACAGAGATGTACGGCTTCATATAGTGGCCCAATAAGCGATAGTCGGAAATTTTTACATTTTTGTATTTAATTTTAATTTTACATTTTTCTTTCTTTTCTTTTTCTCTCTACGTCTCCTTTTCGCCAGAACAATTTCCCGTAACTGTAACATTTGTTTTCCCATCTACATTTTATTTTGTTCTATTAAACGGATTTCTTGAGTTTCAGACCCTATCGAATATGAAGATATCAGAAGAAGGGCTACAGTTGAGCTTAGCTCAGTTTACTCCCAAAGGACGGCAAGAATTTGGCCTTGATAAAGCGAAAAGCAATGTGGAAGCTAGGACGAGCATTAGAGGTCGGGATAGTTTTACAACGATCAATTTATCAATGGAAATCGAATTGTGACCCCAAAAAAGGAAAAAAAAAAAAAAATTAAAATAATTCAAGCGGTAGCAGTTTCCGCCCCCCTGTGACATGCTCTCGGATCGAACTCGTTGCACTCCACGGAGCTAGCATCAATTCTCTCGCTGGAGAAGCTCTACAGACAGGAAACCGCAAATGGCTGCCGGATATTGTAGTGGTCATATCCAGCGCCACTTATAGGATTCCTGAAAAGGT